CAGCAGGACCTGAATTGGCTGATGCCTTGAACTTGGACTTCCAGCTTCCAGACTTGTGAGAAAAGAAATTCCTGTTGTTTAAGCCACCAAGTCGATGGCCTTCCGTTATAGCGACCTGCTCTGACTGAAAAAGGAGCAAAGAGTTCTTAACTTTCTGCCATGAATAGACAGAGAAAGAAATGGAGATAGTGAGAAGAAAAGGCAGGTCATTGGAGAAAACCAGGTCAAAGAAAGTTGTCACGAATGAGGGTCTCCTTCCTCCCACCTCCCCACAGCCTTCGGCTAGAAAAGACCACGTCCAGTTACATTTGTAAATATGCACTTCAACCTTGGCTGTACACCTCTGGGAAGAAGTCTTACCCAGGGAACTTGTTAAAGTCCAACGTTCAAGAAATCTAGCATAGACAAAGGAATAAATAAACTCTCGCAAACCTTGGGATTACTCAGAAGGGGCTGTCCCCCCCATTAGGAAGTGTACAAAAACATCTCTTCAATGCCAGGTTTCAGAGGCGTAGGAGAAAAGTAAACCTGAAACGAGGTTAATAACCTTGGGGTATTTGTTCTGAAGTACAGAAAGGTTTTTATTTTTTAATTATTTTTTATTTTTTAAGGCATTTTATAAATGGGAATTGCTCTGTTCTTCAGTTTGAATACAGTTGAAGCCATTGTTAAATACTAACTATGTTTTAAATCTTCTAGAGCTTCTGTCTGAAAACCTTACTACACCATTAGTGAACAGAAGTTCTTAGATTCTACCTGTTTTTTCTTTCTTTCTTTTTTTTTTTTTAGAGATTTTTTTTTTCTATAGGGCACATGTGCTTGCTGGAGAGACAGAAAGATAGAAAGCGAGAAGTCACCCCTAAGGAGGGGATGGCCACACCACAATCCTTTCTTCTACACTTTCCTCTTGGGATTTTGGGCACACCTGCACATGTGCCTGGCATGAGTTTTAAGCCTCTGGGTCCGGGACTCAAACTGCAGTTGACTATGTTGGAGTCCAGCAACATAACAATTACGTCATCTGCTGATCCCAATTCTTTTTCTTTTTTAAAAATTTATTTCTTCCATAAATAGGAAATACAGAAAGAGATAGACAGACAGACACCCTAGTGGTGTCCTGATATCCCAATACATTCCCAGCCTTAACCAGCCCTGAGTTATGGGTGTGTGTGAAGCCCCTGTACTCAGGAGTGATCCAGAACCTTCCCAAGCGGTCACCTCGGAGAGTATCATGTTTTACTGCTGTGCCACCATTGGGGATCCTGGCTCCCTGTCTTCTAGGGGCTCCACTAGCACTCCTAGAGAAGTCAGGGACAGCTCTGGCGCCCAGTGGACGTGGGGCAGTCCTTCGTCTGTCTGTAAGGTGTACAGGCTATGAGAGTCAGCCTACCAGGAGGAAAGAGACAGCAAGTACCCACTTTTTTTTTTGAAGGCATTGATGAAGAATTTAGTACACAAAAAACACTCTTAGTTCTAGCATTTTTGTCTTTCTAAAGTAAAAGGAAACTCTTTAAAAATACCATCCCGTTTCCTTATCTTTATCTTTGAATTAAAATGGCAAGCGTGACTGCTGGAACCCTCTAGTCTTTGCCGAAGCAGATTACGCAACCAGATAGATTGGGAGTTCTCTAGTGAAAGAGTCAATCAGAAGCTGACATGAGATTTTAGTGAAATACCTACCTAACCTAGCTGCCCTTGTCTAGAATGTCCCTGGTAACAAACACCTAGTAGAATGAGGGACTGTAAAACTGTAAGGGCACTGATATGGGGGTAGAGACAAATGGTGTCATAGAAGAAATTTAGGATTTCATTGTGGGCAACCATACGGTGTAAGGTATCATGGCCAGTGTCTTCCTGTGTAAGACATTTAGGTATTAGCTACTAAGAAACCACTCAGAGTGACTTCTCTGTACTTCAGAAGAACATACTTTAATTAAGAAAGCAAAGGGGGAAACGTTTCTAGTTTGGCTGGTTATAAAAGTAATTTGAAAAGAGGTTTGAATTGGCTGTTCCATCTACACACTATACTTCCACCAGGAGAGCAATATGGTGTATACTCTTGAAAATTCTTCCCCAAAGGAAGGAATGTATAGGCCTCAGCTAGCAAGCCCGTATTGTTGTGTAACTGTAGCTGCCATTCTAGGTTAATGTGGGGAGGTCATCTCATACATGACATTGAGAGCCACTCTGGGTCTTTTTATGTCTTCCAAAGAGAAAAAGACCCCGAAAGGACAGATTATTAACCTCTGACACCTGCATCAGTGAATTGGTGTTTTCCAGGAGCACACGTCTAAGCCGCTCTCTTCTGCTACGGACTAACAAGGTCACAGAGCTACTGGCAGTTACCACTATTCAGTGAAGCAGGCAACTTTCATAATTACTCCAGATCTATGGTATTGTTTAAAAACCACATTCCGGAGTATTTTCTGGAAGCCACCATTTCCTGAATTGCTGCCAGCAGGATGCTTTTTATTGTTGGCTAGTTCTCTGTGAAATTTAATAAATATTCATCGATAAAGAACAGCATAATTCATTCAGCCACTTTCATTTCTATCAGCTCCCCAGGAGGCGTTAGGCTTTGCTGGAAACCTCCAGGAGTTGCCAGCAGTTAACTAAGAAGCTTTTGTGAAGTCTTTGGGGAGAAGGATGGAGAAGAGAAAAAAGGTTAATATCTTTTATCACGAGCCACTCTTTGAAGCTTATCAGGAGTTATACTACACCTTGAGTATTGACAGCATACAGGTCTGAGGTATTCCGGGTTAAGCTACAAGAGACTCAATCTATTTTAGTTGAATGGTTAGGAATCAAGTTAATTCATGGTGATTCATCAGCAATCATTTAATATGTTAAGTCAATACTTATGCACTACTTAAATCTGTCTGCGTATTTCAGTACTCATTTATTTTCAAATTATCCATCAACATGAGTTATTTAGGCTTGGAAAGAATGACTCCCATTTACCCCCTTTTTTGAATTTTCAAAATGACATACCTAAATAATAATTTCAAAGTAATACATTTTATAAAAGTACTTATAATGATCAACACCATCTTTTCCATGCACCTGAGATCAGTTATTAATTATATAGTCTTTTGGAAACATAATATACCATCAACACAAAAAATCTTGATGTATTTCCAACATGCTGAAATTCTCTTTTAGTTTTTTTTCTTTTTCATCTGCACTGTTTTCCCTCATCCATCATAGAACATGTGTGCATGCATGGGAGAGAGACAGAGACAGGGAGAGAGAGGGAGAAAAGAAGGGAGAGATGCTCTACAAGGTCCAGTTACTCCACAATCCCCTCCTCCAGTCCTCCAGCCGGTCAGATTCTGGGCCCTCAGGTGCATGCCTGGCTTGTTTTTCAGGCAGACTAGGCCGGGGATTTGAACTTCAGTTGCCATGTGCGATCCAGCCTCTTTTGGACAGGGTGTTACCACTGAGCTATGGAAAGGGCCCTCTCTTCAAGTTTTCTCAACTACCAGTCAAAACATCTTTGCACAGAGAAGTTGGGACTGTGAGGACCACAAGATACCTTGATGATGAGTTTACAAATATCACTTAATAAGTACAGTGCGTGTGACATTCTGACTTGGGTCATTTTCTTGTATGTTTCTATACTTTGTCTCTAAATTTATGTTTGGCTTTGAGCAGATTGCTGGCTTTTTCTTTTTCTACTTACTGGAATGCCCGTGAATGTGACTGGAGGAGACTGCCAGGAAATGCTGAAGCTGCTGCCATTGGGGGTGAACCTGGCTGATCCTGGAATGCTCACAGGGGGCGTGGCCTGTTAAATAGAAACCAGGGAACGTTGTCATGAAAGGACATTTTTCCTCAGAGCCTCAAGCATTCATTGGCAAAGTAGGGCCCCAGAAATGGTCTCAGCTATATTAATACCAGAGACTAATTATGAGGAGGAGATGAACAGGATCAAGGAGAGCAGCTACAAATGTACTTTTTATGTATATGAGGGTGAAAGTTCGTGGAAAATACATATTACGACAGAACTATGCACAAATTTCAACTTTTTTGGTACCAAAATAAACTTGTACTTTAATTCTACTTTTTCCATAAACTTTTTCAAGTCCTCTTGTACCTATGTAACCTATATAAGGTATAAAAGTCTTTAAAAAATTTAACGGTTTCAGATCAGCAGGTAGTGTAATGGTTAGGTCACTGGGCTCCCATGTAGTAGACTGTGGTTTGAGCCCCGGACCAGCAGCTTGAAACTCGGGCTGGGCACTTGTGTGTGCGTGCCCAAGATCCTGAGAGGAGAATGGAGAAGGGATTGAGGCATGGCCATCCCCCCTGGGGGGTGATTTCTCACTTTCTGTCTTTCTGTCCCTCCAACAAACACACACCTCCTATAGGAAAAAAAAAAAAAATTTTTTTTTTTTAAAAAAAGCAAAAACCAAAAAATGGTTTATTTTTGTGGTTTATAACATGACGTTATGAGACACATATAGATGGTGAGACGATTTCTAAAGCGAAGCAGGCGACCATATCTATTGTCTTACATAGCGATTTTTTACAAATTTGATGACAACAGCAACTAAAATCTACTTATTTAATACAAATCCCAGTATGGTTTTAGGAACTTCAGTATCTTTTTTGGTGGTGATTTTTTTTTTTTTTTTGAGAGGTTTTTCACTATAGGGCGCGTGCGCTCACCAGACAGACAGAGCAGAAAGCGAGAAATCACCCCCCAGAGGGGATGGCCATGCTGCAATCCCTTCTCCTCCATTCTCCTCTCGGGATCTTGGGCCTGCATGCACTCTCCTCTCGGGATCTTGGGCATGCATGCACACGCGCCCGGCGTGGGTTTTAAGCCACCGGGTCCGGGATGCGAACCGCGGTCGACTACGTGGGAGTCCAGCGACATAGCCAGTACGCTAACCGCTGGTTCCCAAGAAGATAGTTTTTGATTGTCAGTGTACAACTCATGTTGTATATTGGCTTGCTAGACTTGTTCATCCTGTATATTTGCTGTGTTGTATCCCTGGCTTACAGCTCTCCATTTGCTCACTTTTTTTGCTCTTTCACTATCTTCGTGTACTTGAACGCTTTCTTAAAATTCCACATATAAGTGAGATCACACAAACATGTGTTTTTAGTGTCTGGCTTATATCACTTAGTATAATGTACTCAAGGTCCATTCATGATTTGGAAAATGGAATGACCTCCTTATTTATTTGTTTTACTTTTGCTACAGGGCACATACACTTGCCAGAGAGGGAGAGAGTAAGAGAGAAAGTGAGAAGTCACCTTCCAGGAGGGATGGCCATGCCACAATCCCTTCTCCTCTACTCTCCTCTCAAGATTTTGGGTACATATGCACATGCACCTGGCATGTTTTTCAAGCTGCTGGGTTCAGGACTCAATCCAGACAGTTGGCCATGTGAGATCCTGCCTTAACCACCAAGTGACCTGGCTGGCCCTAGGATTCCTTTTTTAAAGGCTGAATAATATTCCATTGTGTGTGTGTGTGTGTGTGTGTGCATGTATACAGGAATAACACATTTTCTTTATCTATTTGTTCTCTGATGGATAGCTAGCTTGTCTCATATATTGACTATTATGACTAATGCTGCAATGAACATGCAAATGCAGGTATCTTTTTTGGTGGTGATTTCATAAAAGAAGATTTTTTTGGGGGGAGAGGTTTTTGCTACAGGATGTGTGCACTCATCAGAGAGACAGAGGGAGAGGAGATAGAAAGTGAGAGATCATCCCCCGGGGGGATGGCCACGTCGCAATCCCTTCTCCTTCATTTTCCTCTCAGGATCTCGGGCATGCACATACACACACCTGGCGTGAGTTTAAGCCACCGGGTCCAGGACTTGAACCGCGGTCAACTACATGGGAGTTCAGCGACATAGCCATTACACTAACTACTGGTCCCAGAAGATGGTTTTTGATTGTCAATTTCTGAAAAGAAATTTCATTATATATACACGTAGTTATTTGAAGACAGCTGTGAGAAAGAATTCCTCACTACCAAGTTCAGATAAAGATTTTACACAAGGATGGTGGGTGTGTTCATTTGTTACAACGCTTTGGGAGAGTAATTTGGCAATATGTATTGAAATTCTTAGCATCCTGTATATTAGCTATTTCCACCTCTAAGAATTCATTCTACAAAAATGAATATAAAGATGTTCATTACAGAACCATGTACTTTCTGAAAAAATCCTGGAAATGACACAAATATCCACTACTAATAGGGAAATAGGTAAATGACTCACGATATACCCACAGAGCCACTAAAATGCTATTGTTGAAGAAGCCTCATTGGGATGAGAAAATATTTGTGATATATTAAGTAGGAAAAAGAGCACAGTAAAAATATTACCAAAATATATTTCTATTTTAAAGAAATGTGCATACAGAGACACAGAGAACACAGTTTTGAAGGACATGCAAAAATATTAACCAAAGTGCTCTTTGGTTATTAGAACTAAGGATGCATTTTCTTTCTTTGCTATATTGCTAATATTTTCTATGCAGAATATTCATAAGATCTATAAATGGAAAGGTCCCAGTATTATGAATCTATGCTTTGGGAAGGACCTCCCAGATCAGAGTGTGTTGTATCTCTCTCATTGTATAGATGAGTAAAATGACTTGATTAAGCTGGTTCAAGCTCCTGATTTCTGACCTAAATGCAACACTGACAAATAATAATAAATGAATGGCTTATTCTTTTTGGCCAACATAACAAGAGTCAGGAATAAAACTGATTGTAACAACCAATTGAATCACTAACTCTACTTCATTATCCTTGAGTTTAAGCCTGCAAATAAGTAGCTGCAGTCTTCCTCTGTAGGTTTATTTGTAAGTTGTAATTACCAATGTACTTGGTAGTGACGGTGGTTTTGCCACTGGTACTATTAGAATATATTTTGGAATTATATAGCCAGAGGAATGAATTGTTTGTAATATTATATCCTCTGACTCAATAATTATTCTTCTGAGAATTTAAAGGGAAAAAAAAAACAACCCTACAAGCACAAAGATGTTCACAAGGGAGCTATTTATGATAGGGAAACAATTAGATAGACTAAATAGTAGATACATAAGAAAATGATTAAAACCCTTTGGTCTTTCCTTTTAATTGGAATTAAATGGGATGTTTTTTATCAGATGAGTGGGTGAACACAATTATAAATATGTAAATATTTTAAAAGGTTGTATTAGGGCATTGAGAATTATAAAAAAAAAGTTTTCTTAAACTTTGCGTTTTTATTTTTTATTTTTTATTTTTTTTTATTAAAACAAAGCAACATCTAAGTGATGTTGAGTTAGTAATTTCTGGAGAGAAAAGGAGTTTCAACATGTCCCAAATTTGAAGATTTATCTCTAAGGTCTGTCAGACTTTAACATAAATCAAAATTCCCTGGAGGGCCTCTTACAACCCAACATGCTGGGCTGCTCCCTGTTTCTGAGCCAGTAGTTCTTGGGTACCAAAAATGTACATTTCTAACTGGTTCTCACGTGATGCTAACACCGTCAATTTGGGACATGTTAAAAACCCTGAGTCAGAGGGGCTCAATTACTCTTGGAGAAGGCAGGGCATGAGTCCCAGATTTGAGGTACAGGGTGATTCTGTCTTTGTACCAAAGTTTTCCCAAGCTCACGTTTTTTGTTAATTTTATTTTTTGCTTAACAGATACTTCTGCCAGGGACCATGTTGGGGGCTGTACAATGCTAGGATTTTAATGATCCTAACAACCCTTGAACGATGGGAACTGCAGTCGACACTGCAGTCTGAAAATAACCCCAGGATCCCAGCTGGGTAAGATCTTGACTGGAAAAGAGAAAAGAAAAACAAACGCAGCTCTTGGGCTGCAGTGTGTGATGCTGTTTTTCCACTGAGTTTTCTTTTACTCATAGGCCAGATGGCTACTGCTTTTGGTCAGGGTCAAAGTGATTACTCTCTCGGCCCCTTGTAAGTCACCTGGTAAGCGTGGTCAGTGTGCACGAGGTAGAGGGTGGTGGGAGCTGAGCGGCTCAAGGGCGTCATCAGTTTTGTCTCAGTTTTGGCACAAGGAGTTTCTGTTCGGCTTGACTCTGGGATCGGGAACGTCGGAGGTGAGGCCAGGGACTGGGAAGGCGAAACCGGGGCCAGGTTGCTCAGTCCGTCTGCCACTGAGTCTGTGTGGAGCTTTATCTCCGTGTAGTAAAAGTCCTCTTCTCCGTCACTGTAGTCAGAGTCTCCAACACGCCTAATGCAAAAGGGAGCAAAGCAGTTGTGCTAAGTCAACCTGTTTTCTTGCCTCGAAATCTGGCACATGCTAGTCTCTCTGTCCGGAATGCTTTCCCTCTCTCTTGTGTTCATTCTGCAACACTCAACTCAAGTCTCCACTTCCAGGGAAGCCTTCCTTATCTCTTAGAACAATTCGTTCATTCATTCAATGATTCATTCACTCAATCAATTATTCAACAGAAATTTATTGAGCATCTATTATGTCCAGCCACTATTCTAGAGTCCCCAGGTATCACAGTGAACAAACACAGATAGACTCTGTCCTGATGATACAGCCTAGTGGGAGAGGCAGACAAGAAACCAAGAAAGAAACATATTTAATATATCAGGTGTTGCTAAGTCCTAGAAAGAAAAATTAAGGCGCCTAACAGTGTTTAAGGAGGGTAGGTGACAGGGGGCACTATTGTAAATATAGCATTCAGAGGAAGCCTCCATGAGGTGACATCTGCACAGAGACCTATAGGATGAAGTGAAAGAGACCATGCCAGAACCCATGGGAGGAACACATCAGGGAACAGCAACACAAAACCCTTAGGCGGGCAGCCTGCTGGTCCCCAAGAAGGGCAGACAGACTCAGGACATGACGGGGTGATGAGAAAATGGTGGGGACAAAGCAGGGGCTAGATCAGAGTGTTTTGCAGCCTGGAGTAATGGCTTTGGTTTTTATTCTGAATATGAAAGAAGCCACTGGGAGTTTTGAGAAATCTAACTTTTATTTATTTTTCCATGAGAGACAGACAGGAAGCCAGCCACTCCCAACAGCACCCCCAGCCGGCCAGGAACACGGGCATAAAGGTGTGCCTGACGTGCACAGGGAGACCCTGGGATGCAAACCTGGGAGCTTCCCACTCGATTTCAGCACTGCGGAACACTGTGTGACTCTGCATCACCACAGCTGGTGCAGATTATTTGTTAAAGGTCACTCTGGTTGTTGTCTGGGAAATGGAGGACAAAAAGGCAAGAGCACATCTCACACACAGACCCAACACACACACACACACACACACACACATGCACATACACACACACATTGAGGAGGCTGTCTCTGTCAATACTCCAGAGGAGTGTTGAGACCCGCTGGGTGATGGTGATATTGGTGGAAACACAAAGTCAAATTGTGGCTGGATTTTGGTTAGGGGCTGGGACTTCACTCCTAACTGCTAGTTTTCTGTGCTCCCTTTGAAGTGTGTTCATTCCTTTAATTACTTGCTACGTTTCTGTAAATTTTTAAAACCTCTCTTTGTTGCTATGTCTTACTCATCTTCATGTCACTCCACTCTTACCAGTGCATGTGTTACACACAGGTACTTATTAAATGTTGAATGACTGAACGAAGCTGAGGTTGTTGTGGCATAATGACCAAGTGCACAGCTTGTGGGGTCAGAGTCCTTATGTTCAAATCCTGACTTGGACATTCTACCTGTGCTGTGATTTTTTGTGCCTCTGCATAGTGTCTGTGCCTTGGTTTCTTCATTTATAAAGTGAAGATACTAAAATTATATACTATAATTATCCCTGTTTTATAAATGCATTGAATATCCCTACCTAAATTGTTTGGAACAAGTATTTTTTTTTTTTTTGGAGCGATTTTTGCTATAGGGCACGTGTGCTCACCAGACAGACAGAGAGAGACATAGAGACAGAAAGCGAGAAATCACCCCCCAGGGGAGATGGTCATGCTGCAATCCCTTCTCCTCCATTCTCCTCTTGGGATCTTGGGCACGCATACACACGCGCCCGGCATGAGTTTTAAGCCACCGGGTCCAGGACGCGAACCGCGGTCGACTACGTGGGAGTCCAGCGACATAGCCATTACTATATATATACACACACACACACAATATATATATACACACATATATATACATATATAAATAAAGAGATATTTGGGGGATGAGACTCAAGTCTAAACATGAAATTCATTTATGTATCATAGATGAGGGACCTTCAAAAGCTCATGAAAAATGCACATTATGAAAAAAATTATGAATTTCAAATTTCTTGTATGAATTTCATTTTCTTAATTTCAAATAAACTCATAATTACATTTTCAATAAACTTTTTGAAGTCCCTCATACACCTTATACACATAGCTTAAAAGCAATTTTATACAACGTTGTCGTGTCACATGGTTGTGACCGCAACCCATGTCAGATCAGATTTTTCCACTGGTGGATTCATACCAGTGCTCAAAAATGTTTAGATTTTGGATTTCCGGATTAGGGCTGCTTACCCTGTATCTAACTGTTATGAGGACAAAGTGAATAAATATACAGTGCTCAGAAGTATACCCAACATATAAAAAAAATGCCATGTAGGTACTTATGAAATAAAAGAAAGGACTATGTTAGAGTTCTCGATTTTTACTATCACCAGGAAAAGCATCTTCTTGAGTGCCCTCCAAGTTCTCCCTGAAGCATGGAAAACTGTATATTCCTGTTGAAAACTTTTAATAAAATAAGGGTTCATAGCACAGAAGACATTGATGAGATTTGTTAATTTCTGGAGAGGTGGTGCATATCTAGCACCCTAGTTCCCTGAATGGCTAAGCAGAGACCACAGGGAGCAGTCACCAGAGACCTTGGGGAAGACCATCCCTCCTCAGACTGGGAGTGGACGGGTAGAGGGTGCTGGTCCCAGGATGACCCACGCGCACCCACCTCCAGCACTTCCGCATTGCTATGTACAATAGGGTTCAGGCTCTCCTGAGAATCCAGTATCTCTGCTCATCCGCTAGGGGTGAAGCCCAGTCGGCAATGCAAGCTATGAGGAGCAGCAGCACATGCTGACTAAGCTTCTCTAGCCCGCCATCCAGCTACCTCTGGTGGACTAGTGGACTGGCACTGGTCTGCACCTGGCCCCCAACAGGCCATGGATCACCCCTGGCCTGAGCCTCTGGGGCTGGGGAACCTGGTTCCAGGGATCCCGTCATTTCATGGACACACCCCTAGCGGCAGCAGCAGACCAGACTCAGAACAAACTTCAACCACTACGGGTCCCTACATGGAACTTGGGATAAAACTTCCTCCACTCCTCCCAAGGCCTTCCTGTTTGGTCCAGTCAGTGGCTTCTCCCAGCCAAGTTCCATGTCCCTGGAGCTCTCTGGCTGTGGTATCTGGGGAGGTGTCTTTATACCATATCAGGCCTGGCCTGGCTTGGCTTTCTGACCAGCATTCCACTGAAGATCCCAGAGAGGGGACAGGGATGGAGCGCCTGTTCTATTCTTGTCCCCACTTCTTTTCCAGTCAAGGACAGGCTGGGTTGCTGCTGCCGCCTAGCTCTACTGCAAGCTCTCCTGGTAGACACGGAGGCCCTGGAGGGAGGAGACATCCTATGTGGGGAAAAATCAGGGTCAGCTCCTGGTGTACAGTGAAGGAATGAGAGTTAAGAGAAAAATGGTGTAGTTTTCTTTTGAATTTTATTTATTTTTTGAGAGAAAGAGACATACAGGTAACCTTGACAGGGTCTTGCCATGCCACAATCTTCCTCCCAGCCATCCAAGATCACATACTTGGTGTGTTCAGTTCAACCTCAGACCCAAACCCAGGCCTCCCATATGAGTCCAGTATCAGTACAGCTGGGTGAGAAAGTGGTGTACGTTTTGTATGGGCCTGCTGTGCACTGCAGCTCCCTCAAATGCAAGACAAATCTTTCTCTGGACTCTGAGATGTACCCTCTCTAAGAGCCAACACTCCTTAAAATGTCCTATCATCTCATGGCCACGACACTGACCTTATCAATTAGGCAAAGGTGAGTTCCTTCTCCCAGGCCATGAGATAGCTCAGGTCCCAAGCTTTGTAAACGCACACTGGCCTTGAGGACTCGCTATGGATTTTTTTTTTTTTTTTTGGAGAGATTTTTGCTCCAGGGAGCGTGCACTCACCAGACAGAAAGAGAGAGACATTAAAGACAGAAAGCGAGAAATCACCCTAGGGGGGATGGTCATGCCACAATCCCTTCTCCTCTTGGGATCTTGGGCACGCACGCACACGCGCCCGGCGTGAGTTTTAAGCCACCAGGTCTGGGATGCGAACCGCGGTCGACTACGTGGGAATCCAGCGACATAGCCATTATGCTAACTGCTGGTTCCCCTCACTATGCATTTTTGCATAGAAAAATACATCATGACTTTTCCAACAACATATATGTATACACACACACACACACATATAATACAGACATATACATATACACATTTATGGCATGTGCTTCTGAGTGGTGCTGAATGGGATTCAATTTTTTTGGTAATGTACATTTTTTTCTTTTTAAATGGAGAGATTTTTGCTATAGGGTGTGTACATTCACCAGAGAAACAGAGAGAGACATAAAATGAGAAATCAACCCCCCTCCCAGGAGGGATGGCCTCACTGCAAGCCTTTCTCCTCCATTCTCCTCTTGGGATTTTGGGCTTGCATGCACACATGCCCAATGTGAGTTTAAGCTGCTGGGTCCAGGATTTGAACTGTGGTCAGCTACATGCGAGTCCAGCAATGTAATCATTCCACCATCTGCTGGTGCCTGGGCTGATGTACTTTTAAACAATGACCTACCTCCTGGTTACAGCTTCGGTAAGCTCTTTCTACACTTTTAGTATTTCTGAGCTGCTACTCTGTGCACTACCCTGAGATTTGAGGGGAGATACTGCAGGGTCCCCTACCCTGCGGCAAGGGACAGGGGTTAGGGCTCTTGTCTGCACTGTTTCAATGTGGTATTTCTTGGACATGAAGCCAGCCCCTCTGGCTAGGGGAGCAGAAGTCCAGCATGTGGCTGTAATCTGGAAGGTTCTGCTGAGTCCCCAAACACAGCCTGAAAGT